CATCATATAGGGACGTTAAGCTGCGAGGGAGGATGTAAGATTTTATGTTAGGGATGAATTTCTAAAATTTTAAGGGATGCGAATTTATAAAATTTCAGGGGACGGAATAAATCATTAATAGAAAATATCTAAAATATATGATATTTTAAAATTTTCAAGGAGCGATTGTCCCGCCAATTCCCCTTTAGTCCATCCTTGTAAGCAAAGTATTTTAAGAAAAATGAAAACTAGGATAAACTGGTTGAAATGGTTAATAATTTTTTTATGATATTCGTAACCCCTAAACCCGACCTAAAAGAATTACATTGAATCTAGAGAGCTCATTAACTAAATTTCCCAAAATCGTACCCAAACCTTATTTACAATACATTTAAAACTACCCTCGCATTTATAGATTTCAAACACTTAAAGTAACCAAAATAAATAAATAATAATTAAAACATAAATCAAATATTTATCGAATTCAAAATTCAAGTCTCAATGTCCAAAACAAAATTTATGTTTAATGTCCCAAAATAATTAAACATAACAAATAATGTCCAATATAAATATGAATTAAATGTGCAATAAAAACCCCAAGTAAAAATGTCATACTGAATAAAATAAAATATGGGTAATATTGCAACTCCAAGTACCGATTTTCCTAATCCGACTATCTGAAAGAGAGAAACTATGGGGGTGCAAGCTATAAAGCTTAGTGTGCATCTAAAGTGCAAACAAATACAAGTCATAGCATAATCCGAATCAGTCAATAATAATCATAGTCCGATTCAATCATTAATATTCATGAACCAAGCCAACGTAAACAATCTCATTAAATGTCGTGCAGATGATTATGCACTCACCCAAACACCAAACACACCATATCCGAAGAGTAGGTTCCCCATAACCACTCTAACAACTAACACCAACCGAAGTGGAGTCCGCCACAAAGGCAGAGGCCACTGAATCCGAAGTAAAATTCACCTCATAGGGTGAAAAACATTGAACTTCCCTATTAAACCCAATATGACATGCAAATGGCATGCATATCCGATATCCAATCTAATCCGAATAACACATACTCGAATATTATATATATATCCAAATTCCAATTTGATCTGAATGAGAATGCAATTACATAATTCCAGAGTCTGAACACAAAGCATAATCTGAATCTGATAAATATCACATGTCACATAACATAATTTTCTGAATTCCAACTGATACATCAAGTCACATAACCATCATGCTCGAAATTAACTTTCAATCAACATGCTATCTGAAATAATAATTAATTCAACAATATCACAGAACAATCATGTTTACACTCAAATTTAGACAATCAAACAATTATCACAAACAATATTTAGCACTATATAGAGACACACCTCGACAAATATAGCTAACGTCGGTCGTAGCGCCTATCACAATCAACATGAGCAACGATTCAAATCGAATAAGTTCCTACATATTAATTTAATAAATAAATAATCTAATATAACTAATATGAAAAATTCAAATATCTAAATTAACTATCACTCACACTCAACACGATTAATATGGGTCGCTCAAAGTTAGCGGGCAACAGTGGCAGAGGAGGTAAATCGGTTCCCTGCAAAATTTACAACGTTGAGGTGAACCTCGGGTTACGATCTTAGATGATGGATAATGGTACCCCATGCAAACGGACAATTTTGAAAATGTAAAGTCGAGCCAACTTATTCAAAGGGTAGTCAACCCGAACCGGAATAAAGTGAACCGATTTGGTAAGTCGGTCAACGATAACCCAGATAGGGTCATTCTTCGTCGGAGTCAAAGGTAAACTCGAAACAAAGTCCATAGTCACACGCTCCCACTTCCATTGCGGAATCTCAATAAGCTGCAACAATCCAGATGAACGCTGGTGCTCTGCCTTTACCTTCTAACAAGTCAGACACTAAGATACATAACCGACAATATCTCACTTAAGTCCTTTCCACCAATACCTCTCTCAGAGATTCCTATACATCTTGTCCCCATCAAGATGCATAGAACACAGACTATCATGACCCTCTAGGACGATAACTTGTTTCAATCTAGAGTTTCTCGTAATACAATACCGACCTCTGAAACACAGAACACCATCCTGATCAACAGTAAAATTTTGGGATACACCACCATCAATCTCTCTAATCTGATGGATCGAAAATGAATCATTACATTGTTTCGCACGAATAACTAGAAACTCGTAATGGCCATAGCAAGTCCAGAAAGTCGTTTTAGACACATCAGAATCCTTAACTTTGAGCTAATGATAATCGAATCTTAAGTCTATCTTAGAAAATAATAAAGCTCCACGAAATTGATCGCAAAAGTTAATCAATACGAGGTAACATATACTTGTTCTTAATCGCCAGCTTATTCAACTTCTGATAATCAATGCACAACCGTAGTGTCCCATTTTTCTTCTTAACAAAGAGAACCAGTGCTCCCCACGGTGACACATTCGGTCAAATGAAACTCAGGTCCAACAATTGAACCTTAAACTCTTTGACCTCTTTAGGTGCCATCCGGTAAGGTACCATATACAACAAAACTAAGCCTGAGTATACCTCAATGCCAAATTCAATATCCTTACGCTTAGGTGGCACGCAAGGTAATTCTTCATAAAAATGTCCAAAAATTCTCTAGCAACTCTGATCTTATTTATACTGTCGTCAGACTGCCTCAAATCCATAATATAAGCAAATTAAGCAACGACCCCCTTCTTAATCATCTTCTCAACCTTAAGAGTCAACACTACGTTGATTATAAACCCACGACGTTTTCTGATAAGGACGACTTCACGATTATCAGGAGTCTTTAAAGTAGCCCTTTTCATATCACAATCCAGATTAGCTCGATGAGTGGTTAACCAATCCATCCCAAGGATAAGGTTGAATTCCCCAAAATGCAACTCCATTAGGTTAGCCGAAAAGATTTCACCGTGTAGTTCTAACAGACAATTCTTATAAACCTTGTTAATTTTCACCAGAGTACCCACATGAAGATGAACTGAGATGCGGTCTCGGTATTTTCATCAGAAATTTCAAGACCCCTAGCTACCGAACTCGCCACATAAGAGTGAGTAGAACCGTTATAAAGAAGTGCAAAATATGAAATAGAATAGATAGAAAAAATGCTCGTAACAACATCTGGCTCATCATGATCCTCGTGCCTCCGAGTACCATAAACTAACCTAGTTTGTCTCGATGCTGACCTATCAGGACCCCTATTCTGAGTCGATCTTCCTATATTAACTAAACCCGTATCACAGCCAGCCGGTCTATTCTGTTCTCTACCTCGGATCGGTGTTTGGACTGAAGCCTGAGACTGAATAGGAGCTTAATAACTAGTAGGTGGAAAATGACACTCCTTGAAATGATGTTCTAAAGACCCACAACAAGGACATACTCAAGCCTTCGTCCAACACTCTCCAGTGGTCTCTTCTGGCAATACGAGCATTGTGGTGCCCCTCGAGTATCAGTCAAACCTCTAGCACTAACAGTTGAAACAACAAATGTCATTGGTATAACTCATGTATATTCTTGGGAATCTGAATCGTCTCTCTATCTCTTACCAAATTGATTCACATACACAGTCTGAGTAGGTGGCCTCAGTTACCTCCGAGACCTATCAAGATTTTACAATTTAGCTCCCGACGATAGTAGCTTAATCTTGTTTTATTCCTCCGATCGATGTCTAAACTAGACTTAACCTTAACCGATAGTTAATCGAGAACTCATACAAGGTAACATAATGAACTATCTATAAATGACAAAATCTTAAGGACAGAGTTGGTACTTGAAGTTTCAAACTAAAATATTTATTTACTCTTTAAAAGTAAGAAAAATGAAAGAGAAGAAAAATAATTTTATTTCATAAATCTCGATTTTACCTGAAAATATTTATATATATCTAAAAATCATTTTTGGTCAAAAATTCAGAGCTCCATAGTCCGAGGGTTGAACTGGGTTCTGATACCACCAAATATAACCCCTAAACCTGAACTAAATTTCCCAAAATCATACCCAAACCTTATTTAAAATACATTTAAAACTACCTCTGCGTTTATAGATTTCAAACACTTAAGGTGACCGAAATAAATAAATAAAAATTAAAACATAAATCAAATATTTATCGAATTCAAAATTCAAGTCTCAATGTCCAAAACAAAATTTACGTTTAATGTCCCAAAATAATTAAACATAAAAAATAATGTCCAATATAAATATTAATTAAATGTGCAATAGAAAATCCAAGTAAAAATATCATATTGAATAAAATAAAACATGGGTAATATTGCAACTCCAAGTACCGATTTTCCTAATCTGATTATCTGAAAGAGAGAAACTATGGGGTGTAAGCTATAAAGCTTAATATGTCTCTAAAGTGCAAACAAAAACAAGTCATAGCATAATCCGAATCAATCAATAATAATCATAGTCTAATTCAATCATTAATATTCATGATCCAAGATAACGTAAACAATCTCATTAAATGTCGTGCAGATGATTATGCACCCACCCATACGCCAAACACACCATATCTGAAGAGTAGGTTCCCCAGAACCACTCTAACTACTAACACCAACCGAAGTGGAGTCCGTCACAAAGGTAGAGGCCACTGAATCCGAAGTGAAATTCACCTCATAGGGTGAAAACACTAAACTTCCCTAACAATCCAAACCCAATATGACATGCAAATGGCATGCATATCTGATATCCGATCCGAATAACACATATATGAATAACACATACTCGAATATTTATATATCTGAATTCCAATCTGATCTGAATGAGAATGCATTTACATGATTCAAGAGTCCGAACACAATGCATAATCCGAATCCGATAAATATCACATGTCACAACATAATTTTCTGAATTCCAACTTATACATCAAGTCACATAACCGTCATGCTCGAAATCAACTTTCAATCAATATGCTATCCGAAATATTAATTAATTCAACAATATCATAAAACAATCATGCTTCCACTCAAATTCAGACAATCAAACAATTCTAGCAGACTAATTTAACACCAGATAGAGACACACCTTGACAAAAATAGCTACTGTCGGTCGTAGCACCTATCACGATCAACAGTTCGAACCGAATAAATTCCTACATATTAATTTAATAAATAAATAATCTAATCTAACTAATCTGACAAATTCAAATGTCTAAATTAACTATCACTCACGCTCAACACGATTAATACGGGTCGGTTCAAAGTTCGCGGGCAACAGTGGCGGACGAGGTAACTCGGTTCCCTGCAAATTTACAACGTCTGAATTTAAGTCCCAAATCAGAAATCCCAATTTAAGAAATAATAATTTACGACTATTTAAAATTATTTTCAATATCAAACGGAGACTTGACAACATATTCTGATTCGAATATAATGGTATGCCGATAAAATAAAATAAGACTGTCAGCGACAAGGGTGCACCGACAGTAGTCTCCATGGGTCGAAGATACCACGATCAGCCCTGCCATGACATTAAATGGCTATCGGCGACGCCAACGGAAGAGGGCAACAACCGGCAGAAGCTTTCCACGGCCAAACAACGTCGTTCAGCCACGACCCAGGTCGTTCGAGTCTTCCTCGACGAGTGCTCGACCATACACGACCGACGCGAGACCCCCACGGCGACGAGAGCGAGCCAAGGCTCACGGGTTTCACAAACCGATGCCGTTCAACGACGATGATGGCGATGGGGAAATGTCGAGGTACATGAACGAAGAACAACGACCTTACCTACGAGACGGGACGACAAATCAGAGGTGAAGACGAGGAGCGGCACTGCTACAAGGTTTCGACGATAGGGTTTTGTTTTTTTTATTTAGAAAATAAGGGGTCCAATGCAGAGAAGATATAATCGGGGGACGAAGAGTTTAGTTTAAAAGAAAAATGGATTAATTACAAAATAAACCATTAAACATTATAGGGTTTTCGAAACACGACTTCAAACCTTGCGATTTTACAATTTGGTCACTGATTTTAATTTAGGAATTTAGGTCAAAATTTCCCAAATTCTAGGGTTTTTAATTTGGAAAATTTTCAGTGTGTTACAATATTAGAGAAATTACATAGGCAATCAAATTTCCTCCCTAAAGCTGCACTATTTATTTTAAGAATTAGTATTTAACACATCTTTGAGTAAAGTATGGAGGTATGCTATTTTAGATATACGAAATAATTCAGAAACAAATGAACATACCAATACCAAATACATATTCATATCCATGGATGGACTTAGGCAGGCGGGTGGAGGCGGTCGCTTCCTAAAAATTTAAAATTATCATATATTTTATATTTTTTCTATTAAAAATTTAATTTCTCCCCCTAAAATTTTATAATTTCAAGTTCGCCTCCATAGAATTTTATAAGTTCAAGTTCGCCCTTCCTAAAACAAAATCTTGCTTCGGTCCCTGTAATCATATCCATATACTACAACTGAATGTTCATATCCATCACTACAACTGAATTTCTACCAAATTTTCAAAGCCCATAGAAAGTGAAGTAAAGAAACAAACATGATTTGATTTATAAAATTGCAGTCAAGGTCTTTGTTCATTCAATGTTTGCCTTTTTTGGAGTGGTTAATTTCCTATCCATAAGAAGTACTAAAGAAGCTCCAAATCCCATCAACTTGGTATTTTTTTTTTAACATTTTAGTCACAATCTATGGCAACTCCCTGCCCTTCTAAAGATAAATATATATGTAGAAAACCTGTTCTTAAACATTAATTTTCTACTGTAACGAGGATGTGAAGACTCGAACTCTATATCTAAAGCAAATTGCCGGCATTGATTTTAATAATGATCACTGAATAAAAAAAACAAACCTGGTCGGCCGATCAAACCAGTCAAATCAAGAATAGGTGTCTCTTCTAGCCCGATCACTATAACAAATGGGGACCTGTCGTTCCCATGGCAGAAACAAATTAGTTTCATTTAATAAAGAATTCAACTCACTTTCAAGTATCAAATAAAATCATTACCGAAAACACTGATTCAGGTTGCTAAAATGATTATTGAAAACAAGTCAAATTTCTGCTCAGAAGCCATGAATTATTAATTTAAGAAAAAATACAAAATAAAAATTGATTAAGTTATTTACCGCATTAAACACAGAAGAAAAGTTAATTTCGAAGGAATCTCAAGAGGAAAATTTTAAAAGAATGATCATCAGAGATTTAAATACAAGTGATCACGGAATAAATCCAATCATATTGTTGCAATTTTATTATTTTTCTCATCAAGTGATCGATACAATAATCACAAAAAAATGATAAAATAAGTAATCAAAAATTGGGGAAGGGAAAAAAAAGAACTTTAATTCTGATTCAACAGCTAAATTTTGGAAAACAGTAGAATGGAACGGGTATTTATAGAATAGGACGATGGATAATTTTGGGCCTTTTCACAGTGGTTTTAATAAGTTTTTTTTGGGCTGATTTAGCCCAATAAAGATAATGGGTTTTTTATTTAGCGGTAAGTCAAAATTTATTTTGGGATCTACGATATTTTCTACAGTATTATTGAAACTCGTCTCGCCGAGGTGATGAGTTTCAATAAAAAAAATATTTTTTATTCGAATTCGTTACGCTGAGGTGACGAGTTCGAATAAAATATAATTTTTTTAATTAAAATTTATCATATCGAAGTAAAAAGTTAAAATATTTTTTTTATTGGAACTCATCACCTCGGCGTGACGAGTTCCATGTCATTGTAAAAAATACCATAGATCCTAAAATAAATTTTGACTTACCCTAATGGGCTAAATAAAAAAACCCATATACCTTACTGGGTTAATTTTACTTTTTTTCTGCCCCCAATAAGGCAAAATCGTGTAAATAATTAGCCCTATAAGGTAAATAGAAATTTATTTAGAGATTTACGATATTTGTTACATTGACATAGAATTCGTCACGTCGAGGTAATTAATTTGAATAAAAAATATTTTTTATTCAAAATTTTTATCTCGATGTGATAAATTTTAATAAAAAATATATTTTATTCAAACTCATCTCTTGATGAGTTTGAATAAAAAATATATATATTTATTGGAACTCGTCACCTTGACGTGACGAGTTCTATAGACACTGTAAAAAATATCATATATCTCAATGACGAGTTCTATAAACATTGTAGAAATTTCATATATCTCAAAATAAATTTTTATTTGTCCTATTTTCCGAAATAATTTATCCGTTTAACCTATTGGGCCGAGAAAACCTTTAAGTAATTGAAAATTGGCTATAAGTTTTATTGGGATTACTTCGGTCGGTTAACCAGGTATTATGGAACAACAAAATCACAGTAGGCTATAGCGCCTAATAATTAAAAGGGTAAATATAAATTTAGGTACATAGTTTTAATATTTATATCTAATGCGACATTCAATATTTTTTGTAATTAGATATTTAATTTTTTAAAGATTTAATTAATATTTAAGTTACAATTGGGTACTTAACATTTTTAACTATACATGTTCAATTATGATTGGCGTGCTGCAATCCGGTACCTATTACCATGAGGCAGTAAAATATCCTGCACGGTGTGCTGCAATGGATGACGATGAGGTGTACATGAAGCTACCACTTGAATGTTGTTACATATTTATAGGCTAAATATTAGGGTTGATGTATATTGTATTTAATATATGACAATGCTTGTTAGTGTATGTTATTACTTCACATATTATATGACCTTTAAACTTGTATATATACCCGTAATGTTAATGAATAAAATACAAAAATGTAATCTCTGTCTACTATTTCTGTACTCGAACATAAATTAATTTATGGTTTAAAACAAGCATTGAGACTGATTCAATACATTTTCTGATGCGGTTCTTCAATGTGAATTTCGACAATATTAAGGGACCATTAATGTATTTTTGGGTTTCCAAATTCTACTGGAATGTTATTGTATTCAGCAATATATCCTATACTATAAATACATTTTAATATTACCCGTATAGTTGAAGTTTCTATGACGAGAAATATTCTTTAATGTCCGATAGTTCCAACTACATAGCCTTTATATTTTCTGTTAGTGATGGAACTGTTCCTCATTGGAGTTTTACATTTATCCAAAGCACCTCAACAAACCCTACATGTGTTTTTCCAATGGTGAGTAGATTTGTTAAAGCACATATTATTTTTGAACCTGCATTCTTCTGCTCTCTCCGGCATGGATCCAATAAAGAGAAGCCATTTTTTGTTCGACATGGGAAGAGCGGTCCACTATATTGTTCCAATTTTTCATTTCATTTAAAATATATGTTTAACCTATCGAGGGAACTGTGGAGGCGGTTGGAGACAATCGCCCCCACAAATTTTAAATTATACTATATATATATATATATATATATATATCTTTGTATTTTTATTGATAATTTGTTTTCATCTAAAATTATAGAACTTTGCCTCTAATATAAGATCATACGTCCTCTATTGTGTATAACATATACTAAAATTTAAAAGTATATATATGATTCTTCAAGAATATCCCCACATATATTAATATTCTATATAAAAAAATTAAACGTACTTGAATCGAATAATTTATTCAAAACTCAAATCGAGTCCAAGAAACATGAGATGACCCCGGTTGAAAGCTGGTCTTCTCTTCTTTGATCTTTACCTTTTCCTTTTATGTGGATTTGATGTTGTTTATATCTTTTTTAAAGGAAGATGGATATTTGAAGGGGCAAAATAGTGGACAGTCAAGGCATCTAATCCGTTTAAAGCATTAGTACCATTAAACCATGTTTTGGGAAGCTAATGTCTTTAAATTAATCAAACATTTCTTTCCATTTTTGAGTAAATTTTCTTTCCCAAATGTGGCACTTTGATGATTACCTTAGTGGGGAACCACTTGGGGCATATTGTTAGTAAAGATCCTCCGGTGGGGGCCTGTTCTATCAACATAATGAAACAACTTATTACTAGGGAAAAAAACCCAGTGGTGCTTCAGTCGTCTTTCATCTTTAAATATCACACATGGCTTCTTAAACACAACATGTTCCCCTCCCCTAAATCACAACATGTTTGCCATTAGTTTTCTATTCAATGGCCGGCAATTCTTCGTTGAAAACTTGTAAAAACTGCAGAAAGATTATGGGGGAGGGTGGTAGAACGCTGAAGTTTTTGTTCGGAGTTGCAGTACTGCTTGTGGGAGTTATTTGGTTATTTTTCATCGGCACCGTGGTGAACCGAGAAACCGCGACGTCAAAGTCGATAACGGTTTCCTCAACTCGAGAGTTCAAACGCTGGGAATCCGTTTTGAAAGAGAAGCTTAATTCTCACCAGGATTTCCATTTCAGTTATGTCAGCAGGAGAAGAGTCCCTAATGGACCTGATCCCATTCACAACAGGTACTTGTTCTTGCCTCAGATAACATCAACTGCATATCAATGTCTCATATTTTTGTCCCATGTTTGATTGCGAATCGGAACAAAAACATGTTTTTTTCCTCCAAAAATACATGAGAAAAATAACACTTTCAGCTAAGTCCGAACAGTATTGTTGGGTTCAGTAAATGAATTCACAAATTTGCAATTACATTTGCATTTCAAAGTTGGTGTTGATCTTTTAGAAAAGTTTCTTTAAACCGATCTTTCTCTGATTTCGATAAGGAAAGAAACAAAGACAAAGGGAAGTACGTACCTGTCCACTTTATCTCAGAGAAAGATGCATTCCAAAGTCCCCTTCACAATGAAATTCTAATTAGTATATACACTTTGAATTTTATGCCAAAATTGTCTATATTTCTATAGTATATTTTCTTTCTTCATGAAATTATATGTTTCAGGAGACAACCCAAGGGTCGAGCCT